TAGGGCATAAGGCCCAGGATAGAGGTAATTTTTAAAATTTCTTTTCTTATATGTTCATATGATGTTATTTTAATGTTACAATTTTTAAGTTAATTTTCTTCAAAAATCACAAAAAGTACAGACCATTCTCTCATATGCTTGATGTATTAGTATTGATCTTAATCTTCCAAATGTAGGGTCTCACTAGCTGTGATCTTGGGTAAACTTCTTAATCTCTTTAAACCTCAGCTGGGAATTTAATAGCTACATAGTTTAAAAATTGTAATGAACAAGCTGTTGACAACAGCTTTTTGATTCATTGGATTATGGAAGGATGGGCTTCAAGGTGCAGCTTCTGTCTGACTGGCTGTGAGTCACCCGCCAACCCCTGGGACAATCACAGGCCACCACTGCTGCCCAGGGTGTGTGGGCAGGGAAAGGCCTTAGTGAGCATGCAGACCCTGACTCACAGTCTTGTTCAGCCTCCCACGAGCTCTGTCATTTGACCTGGTTACTTTACCTGAGGCTCATTTCTCTTATCTGTAAAATGGGATCAGGAGGAAATGATGTACAGGATCTGGGATAATGCTTGGCACATAGTGTGTGTCCTGTGAATATGTCCTTCCCAATGTCTGTGTCAAATATACAAGTTATAATGTCTTTTTTTTCATCCTCACCTGAGGACTTTGTTAATCATTGCTTTTAGAGAGAGAAGAAAGGAGAGAAACATCGATTGGTTGCCTTCCCATACACACCCGGACCAGGGATGGAATCTACAGCCTAAGTATGTGCCCTGACAGGGAATCAAAGCCACAACCTTTTTGTTAAGGGATGAGGTTCCAACCAACTGAGCCACACCAGCCAGGGCACAAGTTATCATTTCTTGTGTGTGAAATAATCATTAAAATGTCAAGAAGAAGAAATGTTTCTTGGAAAAACTTATACTTGACCCATTTGAGTTCTTAAAAGTCCCCAGTCCTTATTTTAATATTTAATCCATTCTCTCTCCAGCAAGCTTTGTGACTGGAACCAGAAATTAGTATTGGAATCCTCCTTTTCCTCCCTGTCCATCACATACCCAAAATGCAGACACTGGAGCAGGACGAGACCACCCTGGGGCTCTGCCTGTATGAATGGAAAGCTGAGAAGGAGTCTGAGTAGAAGGATGCTGGGGAAAACTAAGCCAGGTGAGTGGCTCACTGTCTGTCAAGCCTACGACCTGCTGGCTGGGAGCAATGAGTGCAGCGCATGTACCGTACGCTCACTGTCCCAGGCACTGTGCCCAGCACCATAGACAGCTCCTGGGAGGGCAGAGGGACTGTAAGGGAATGCTTAATGCTGAGCTTAAAGAGCTGCTGGTAGTGTCTTAAAGAGTCCCCACATCCACCCATTGCTCAGATTAAAACCAGGAGCCACCTCCTGACCCCAAAAACTTCACCAACCCTTCAGCAAGGCCTATCCACTCCATCATCCACCCCTCATCATCTCCATGGCCAGCACTGATCCAGGCCAACCTCAGCTTCCTTCCTAAGGGTTCTCTCTGCTTTCCCCCTGTGCTACTCCAATAGACTCGCCCCTGAGAGCCTAAGAGATCTTTTAAAATATGAGAGTATGCCACCACCCTGCTTAGAAACCTCCAATGGACTCACATCCAGCTCAGAATCAAACCGACTTCTACCTGACTCAAGTTCCCATCAGCCTCTCCAATTTGTTCTTGCAAACTCCTCCCCTTGCTCACACCCTCCAGACCTGCTGGGCTTCCTTATTTCCTCAAACATGGCCATGCCATGCCTCTTCCATCCTTACGGCCTTTGCGTTGATGGCTTCCTCTGTTTGAAATCCTCATCCCCAGCTCTAACCAGGCCTGGTACCTCTTTATCCATTGGGCCTAAGTGGACACTACTTTTCCTCAGAGATACCTTTCCTGATCATCTGGTTCAGAGCTGTGAGCTGGTCACATCACCATGGTTTATTTTTCTTGACAATTATTTCCACTGGGAAATGTCATTCTTTGTGCGCTTGTCTCTATCCACCCACCAGAATGCCAGCTGCAGCACAGTGGGAAGTGTGTCTGTCTTGTTCCCTGTGGCACCTCAGTTCCTATCACAGTGCATGATGCATGGCAGGTGCTGAGTACTTAGCTCTGGAATGAAGGTCTGGATGAGTGACGCTGGATGGGGCGGGGGGAAGCAAATCCTACAGAACCAAATCCAGCAGCATTTCTGGTGAAAGATGATGAAATAAAGCTATTCTAACTTGACTACCCTTCTCACCAAAACAACAAGAAAACTCACCAAAACAATAAGAAAAATTCATCAAAAAAATTAAGAAAACAAGAGAAAAAAACCCCATGTCAAATGAAAGAGAAAATAAATCTATTAAACAAAGGAAATGACTATAATTGCAAAGCACAGGTAAGCAGTATGCCTGACAAATATGGTAAACTGAGGCATGTGGCAAGCTGAGAGCTGGGAGGATAGCAGATTTCCCCTCAAGTAAGAGTCATGGCCCTCTTTTGAATATGAAAACATATTCAACTACTCTTTGATTAATGTAATAAAATGTGGGGGTGGAGTATGGCTGGGCGCTGGAGAAGTGGGGATCATGACAGAGACCCAACCTCAACATCACAGGAGGGCAGCTGAGGAAGCTACTGTGCTGCCATGCCATTTCTATCATCTTAGGCCCAGGGCTACTTCAGAAGGTGGCTGGCAGTGACATGGTAGGAGAGCAGAGAGTGAGTAACCACAGAATGGTCGCTCATGGAACAGATGGTGCAGAGACTTTCCTATGACTCATCTGGTCCTGGTGAGCACAGGGCAGTTATGGGAGGTATACCCCCAGGATGCTTGAGCTCAGAGTGTGGTGCCAGATTCCCTAGGTTCCAAACCCAGCTCTGTCTTTGGGCAGCTTGCCTACATAGTCCATGTTACTAATTCCTCATCTGTAAAGTGAACATTTTAATAGAATCTATGTATAAGAATTGTTGGGAGTATTAAATGAGTTATACATTCAGAGTGGTGTCTGGTACATAGTGAGAACTATGTAAACACTATTTATTATTACTATTATTATTATTGTTATTATCACCATCACCCCTTCTCCCACATTATTCTCCTGACTTTTATACCCAATTAGGTTGTCCTTCAAGATTACAGGTAGCAGGGAGACATTTTCAAACATGCACGCACGCTAGGTATGCAGCCCCAGGAACCTGTGTTAATAAGCCACTAGATGACAAAATCCAGATGTCCGAAAAAGAACTGAGACTCAGTGGAACTGGCACTTCTGAACAGAAAGCAGAAATACAGAGTTTGGTCAAGATACAGGGTGAGCTTCTCTGGGTGAAGTTCACTGACTGCTGCTGTGGTCAATTGTGCTTAACCAGCCCAGACTGATGTCTTTTTGAACAGATGATACCAAGGCCCTTGAAGGCTAGAAGAATATGTGAGACTTAATTGAGAACTATTATTAATTTCTCTAACTTTTCTTTCACAAAAATAGAATTTTCCTAAACTCTAGTCTGTGACACAATTCTACTTGCCCCCCTCTCCTATTTCAAGGCATTCTGGTGGCATTACTCTTCCGGTTTAGGGTGGTCACTGAAAGCTTGAGTCTGGAGTTAAGTCAGCTGGCCTCCCTGAGTCTCACTGTCCTCAGCTGTAAACAGGTGATAATAGTCCCTCTTCATAGGGCTGTGGGATGAAATGAGGCAGTGCATGTTATGAGCTTAGCGTAGTATCTGGCATGTGGTTAATAATTAGTAAATGGGAGCGACTGTTAACAGAATGCCAGCCATGCTGTGTATAAGCACTGCCATGCACTGGGGATCTATTGAGTGCCCAGTAAAATATGGCACTGCCACCAAAGACCAGAGCTGCTTCAGGGTCTGTGCCTAAAGAATTGCCACTTGCTTATTTAGCTTTTCCAACTTTCTTCAGTATGCTACTGTCAATTAGTTAAATAAGGGACAGAGGGAATTCATTTGCATCTTATATATTGTCCTTAATGTCCTCCCTCATTATTAGGTTTGGTATTTCAGAAAGTCATGAAAAAGTTTGATCTTTTTATTCTGTTTCTCCTGAGCATTCTTTTCCAACCTTGCATATGGCCCCTGGCTACTCTCCCATTTGCTGAACTGGAAGATTATCAGAAGCACTTTGCTGGTGTATCTCACTCAATTCTATCACTTGTCAAAGATATACCTGTATGCCTCCATTTCTCTATATAGCCTTATAATCAACATTTATTTTCTGGGTTGAGGCTATTCACGATCATCCTAACCACCAATAAGAAACTATGTTATATTGCAAAAATCTCAGAATGGCTCCTAGTTCTCTAGGAAATAACATATATACACTTGGTAATTTAGAAGCGATTCAAAGTTTCTGCTTGGACCCCCGTTTTGGACAAAATATGCACTTACAATGGTGAAAGATCAGGAAACAAATGAATAACTCTGTTAACATTTAAAAGCAAATCTTCAGTGTTCACAGCAGACCATTGTGGACAGATATCTAAATACCAAACCTAAACATCAAGAGACAGAAACTGGGGAGCAGGAATCACTTCAGGTAGAGATTTTACTTTCAAAGGTCCTTTCAAAGGTGCTGCTTTCAGCAGCACTGGGATCTCTGTCCTTTGGGGCCTGCAAAGATGGACCGCCCACATTTCATCAGAAATGTCACTGAGATTCTGAAAGCTTGGGAAGATATCATAGTCCCAATTTATTTGAAATTGAATTAAAAGGTGAATACAAAACCAAGGAGGTATCAAGAGCCAAAATTAGAATAAGAATGAATTAACTTCTGATGTCAAGTTTTGATCTTGGAAGAAATTTACCTGGAATTATAAATTATCTCCATGATTCAAATGGTCACAAGCAGCTTTATCCCCAAGTGTCCAATTCTAATTTACATTATGTCAGGTATATAAAATCTGTGACTTGAGACCTACCCTCCAAATTCTCTTTGATCTAACAACTAAGAAAATAGGAAACCTGAAATCTTGACTCTCCTTACCTGATGTTGGCTTAACAGTAAAGGCCTGATGAGACTGAATCAAAGCAATATGAAACTCAAAATCTACAGGGCAGCTGCACTGCAAAGGAATGACATATTTTTTGCTGCAAAAAAGAAAAATGGAAAATGTCATTTTTCTTTATAACTAGGTTTTTTAGTATCAAAGAATAGAGGCTCGTTATGCAATAAACAACTACAACAATGACAATGGTCAACACCAATACAATAGTTCCTGGGTGCCAGCTCTCCTACACATTTCTCAGATAGTAATTATTCTAAAAATTATTTATTTATTCATTTATTTTCAGAGAGAGAGGCAGGGAGGGAGAAAGAGAGGGAGAGAAACATTGATGTGAAGAGAAACATTGATTGGTTGCCTCTCGCACACCCCCAACTGGGGATCTGACTAGGAATCCAAGCGATGACCTTTTGGTTTGCAGGAGGACACCCAATCCACTGAGTCATACTAATCAAGGTGATAGTAACTATTCTAATCCTATGTGGTAGTGCTATGAGCACCCCCCACCCCCCGCACTTACAGAAGAGGAAATTGAGGCACATGAGAGAGTAAGTGTCCTGCCCAAAATGACACGACTGGTTAGTGACAGAACCAGAATTTAACAGTGGTCAACAGTGCTGAGTGTTCACACTTCAAATACCTCTGTCCTTGCAGCCTCTGAGGTACTGCAGGTATATCCTGTTGGACACTCACAGTCTTGAGGGACAGAATCTCTGCCACATATCAGGTCCCAGGGAACCTGGGAACCACTAAACAAGTAGGCCTCACAGGAGCTGGAAAGCCCCCCCCCCCACACACACACACACTACTTTACAGAGCTTGGAGCTAGGCCATGTTGAAGAAACAACATTACAGGCTGTTTGATGGAAATATGCTTGAGGCTCTATTTGGTTAGAAGTCCAGTACAGGACCTAGAGGGAGTCCATGCTGACTCAAGACAAAGTCAACTTCTGGGAAAGCTTAAGGTTGTCTCTCACAGCACCACAGGGGACCCCAGTGGAGATACTTCTCAGAGGGCCTTGAGCTTCTCCTCATGTCCTCGCCTATCAGGGAGATCCCAGGTGGGCCAGAGTTTGCAGAACGAGCACGGCCTGGAGCAGTGGAGTCCTCCTGCTGGCACTGGCCTCCTATACAGAAGTGGGCCGGTTATTTGGGCACCTTAAGCAGCAGCATGTTGAGCTCCTTTGGGTGACTCAGCCAAGCCTTCCAACCTAGTCTTTCTTCGCAGATCCTCCCTTTTCCACCTCATTATCTCTGGTGCTCTCACTGACCACCACGCCCTCCTGCCAGTGGCTGGTTCCTACCTCTTAAAGTGTTGGATGAGAACCTCCCAGCCAACTGCCCTTTTCCCTCACATTTCCCAGTTCCTGCTCCTGGGAGAATGTGATTGTGATCAGTTTGAACAGAGCTTCCATTTTGAGCAGCTCCTACACTGCCTTCTGGGTGGTGCCCATTCAGACCCAGTCGGTGTGGGAACTTTCCCACCATGACCTGCTTCCTTAACTGATCAGTGCCAATCTTCCTGGGAGTCTCTAAGTCCTATGAAGACAGAGCAGAATCTACTTGCTCTCCAGAGTAACCTCAGCAAAATCCCAGAATCCCACAGAGGCTACACACTTAACAAATATTTCCTGGAGCAACGTAAAATCACTCTTTTTCAGTAGCAATTCTGAGGATACAGTACAGTTCAAATGTAGTTTTTAAAAAAATTATGCCACGGGCATTTTTATTTGGCTTTACATTTGTTACTTTTTAACAATTTTTGAAATATTCCAAATATAAAGAAAAATAAAGAGAGTAATAAGTAAAGATGCCATATTCCACTACCAAGCAGTATTACATCTTCTACTTTGGGTGTCAATGTTTTATTTTTAAAGAAACCACAGAACAGTTGAACCCTTGTAGACCCTTCCCTTGTCCTCTACTCCTTCCTCTCTCCCCAGGTTTGATCCCACCCTGTATTCACTATCATTCTCATGCATTTTTATGACATGTGTTATGTACCCACAAAATATATAATATTGTTTTCAACAAAATTGTTCAAAAACTTGCTAATTTTGCTTAACATTATACTTTTGAGATTTATCCATAATGATACATCAAGTTATAGTCATTAATTTTAACTAATAACAAGGAACCTTATCTCTAGTTATATTTATCTACTCTCATACCATAGAGCATTCAGGGTGTGCCCTATAGCAGGAGACTGGGGCAGTTAGGTTTGCACTCTTTCACTATTGCAATGTGACAGCGACAATCCTTGTGTGTGATTCTTTGTGCATCTGTCCCAGAGCTACTCTAGGAGTAACAGAAATAGAATTGCTGATCAGTAGTAAAGTAAAAATGTCAACTATACTAGATATGGCCAAAATGCTCTCGAAGCCCTTTTACCAATTTATATTTCCACCACCACACATGGGAGTTCTTGTTGCTTACAAGACAGGATTTTCAGACATGTGAACTTCTTCCAACTTGATGGGGGTGAAATGGTATCTCATTTAATTTTCATTTTCATTTCTTTGATGTTGAGCTTCTATTCCTATGTACCCATTTTGTTTCCTCATCTATGAATTGCCTGTGCATATCCTTTGCCCATTTTTCTATTGGGTTGTTTTGTTCTCTTATTAATTTGTACATTCTAGATATTAATTTTGTCAACTATATTTATTCATATAAATTCTAGATAAGGGTCATCATAGGAAGTATTCTTTTTATCCAACAGTGAGATGAACACACCATCAGTTTTTAACCGAATCCTGCCTTAGCTCAGGTTCTACCAGAAGTATCCAGTCCATCTTAACACTCTGAGATGCTTCCTAATTCTGAAACACCAGGTACATAAAAGTAATTGTACTCTCAAAGCAATTCGACCTAACAGACCCTAATACCCTACTGAGCACCAGCTACTCTATAGCAGAAGGTAGATAAAATAAACATTACAGTTACATATCCACTATAGATGTAAGCAGCCTTGGGACATGGTCAATGAGAAATGTTAAACTGCTCAAACATAGTCTCTGAAGATGAGGCCAGTGACTCACGCAGCCACGTGCGCTGGGTGGTCCTCTGGTCAGTAGCTCCAAGGTTCTGCTTAGCACTGCCCCAGCAAGGTAAAGTCTGCTGCTCAGGGAACTTCTGCTAAAAGATGCATATTTGCATTTTCTTGAACTAAAACAAAAAAACTGCTGGGGTTTTTCATATATGCCACATATTTAACCAATTTTGGAACTCTGATAATTCCCACAGAAAAAGAGTCAGGGTGTTTGTTTAATGATGATTACATGAAGTGAATACCAGTCATTAACCAGTCAGAAAAAACAATTCCTTAAGGTCACAAAATTTCAAGTACCTGGATTCAGAAGGAGACACAGCAATGCAAGTAACACAAATTTCAGTAGAATCATTGAACTTGACTTTCATTGCTGCTGTTCAATATTATGGATTCCAAATTAGCGTGGGTGGTACCATAGTTATAAATCAAGGACAGTCTAGCTGAAGTTGGATCAAAAGAAATTGGGGCAAATATAAAGTTTAGTTTACTTAGAAGTTTTTCAAATCTGAAGAAACAGAGTCCCATTATATTCTGGGGAGAATTAAAAATTTGAATCAAAATTCCCATTGTTAAATACATTAAAACTGATCTACAGTGAAGAAAGAGGAATAAATATCCATGTCTTATGCCTGTTATTCTCAGAAGCAAGTAGGAGCCTAAATTAAAGTTCTTCTATAACTTATAGGAAGCATCAATTAAAATCCTGAAGCAGATAGAAATAAGTACTTTTGGAGGTAACCACAGCTTCTACCCTTGTTGCTGTATCCATTAAACATTTTATCAATTGTGTTAAGACTATGTATAAAAATATATTAAGTACTTTAAAAGAATGATTCCCTATTTTGAATAAAACCCAACTTTAAAATACTAGACTTAGGTGCTCCGCACACAGCTTGTGCATGTGTGAGCTGGGGGGGTAAGTGCAGACAAGCTGGAAGAAATAGAAGATCCCTGGCCAAAGGGGTCACACAGCTGCAATGAGACCCTTGAGGAGAGACTGGAGATGGAGGCGTTGGGGAAAGAACGGGAGGAGGAACCAGGGAATCCTGACTCCCTCCCCATTCCGTAGTCTCCATTTTGGGCAGGCAAGGCGCACCCCCAAAGAGGCAGAAACTGAAAAGCACACAATAGACAGGCCAAAACCACCCAGTGCAGGCGCGCACACTCGTGCCAAGTGGCCAGCGATGGTTGGCGAGCATGTGAGTGGACCCGCGGGGGCTGGGGAGGGCTCACGCGGGCTGGCAAGGCCTCCTGCAGGGTGGGCGCCGATGGGGCCTGTGAGGAAGTGCGCAGATCTGCGAGGGCAGGCGTAAACCAACATGCACGGGCCTGCGAGTGCAGAGAGGTCCGCAGAAATAGTGGATCCCGGGCCAAAGGGGTCACAGAGCTGCCCAGAGTCCCTGGAGGAGAGACTGGAGACAGGATTAACCAGAGAGTCCTGGAGCTGACTTCCTCCCATTTCCATAGTCTCCATTTGATGAGGGCAGGTGATGCCCTGAAGGAGACAAAAGCAGGGAAAGCACACAATAGAAGACCCTGAACTGACCAGTGCTGAGGTGCTGACCAGGCGTCGGCGCTAGACGAGTGTGCGAGGTTGGGTGAATAAGCGCCCAGGCAGGCTGGAGATCCTGTTGGGCCGGGGAGTGCGCTCAAGGAGCTGGAGGGAGAGTGCAAAGCGATCCACAGAAATAGTGGATCCCTGGCTGAAGGGGTCACAGAGCTGCCCAAAGCAGGAGTCAGACACAGACAATAGACTCCTGGAAAGCTCAAACAAATGACTCAAGGTCATATAGGATCAACAACTGACATCATCAGAGGCAGGCCCAGAAATAAAACTAAAGAATAAACAAACAAACAAACAAACAAACAAATAAAAAGACCTGCCTACTACCATAGAAGATTAATTCACAAAATTAGGAAATCTAGATGGCCCAATTGAAGCAGAAGCAAGAATAAATAAATAAATAAATTACTTAACAGACTCCCACAAATATGGGAAGAAAAAGAAGTTCCCCCCAAATGAGGGGAAAGGG